ATCCTTTTCTTCTTTTGAAGTTCACACTGTCCGCCTATTTAAACCCTCTAATAACCCTCCCCGGTTATTCTAGACTATTCATTGAGCACTTTTCTTCCTGGCTTCCCCACTTCCTCTCATCTAGCACTCCTTCCCTTATACTTGGGGATTTCAATATCCCAATCAATAACCCCAATTGCACTGATGCCTTTCGCTGCTCTCTGTAACCTCCTCCTTTGGCCTTACTAAATGGTCCAATTTAGCAACCCATACAGCAGGAAACACTCTTGATCTTGCCTTCACCAACCTCTGTACTGCCTCTAATCTATCCAATATTCCTTTTCCTCTATCTGACCACCATCTGCTGAATTTTGACATTGGCATACCTAAGACCCAATTGACACCATCGTCTGAACATCACTCTCACAGAAACCTCCAATGTCTTGACCTAGGGCATTTCTCCACTAATCTTCAAACTCTCCTTTTACCTACCTCAAACCTCACCTGTCCTAGTTCTGCAACCTCCTTCTACAATTCCACCCTCTCCTCTCAACTAGACATCATGGCACCTTGTACATTTAAACACCGCAGGCCCCCCCAACAACAACCCTGGCACACCAAGCTCACTCGATACCTCCAAAAATGCTCCAGAACTGCTGAACGCTGTTGGAGAAAGTCTCACTGTGCCTCTGACTTTCTCCACTATAAATTTATGCTGAGCACATACAGCTTGTCTCTTTCCTCTGCAAAAGTTAATTACTTCAATACCCTCATAACCACACTCTCCCGCGAACCCAAACGACTATTTCACACATTTAACTCTCTTCTTCGCCCTGCTGTTCCTCCTCCACCTACTAACTTGACCGCCTCAGACTTTGCAACTCACTTCACTGACAAGATCTCTACAATCAGAGAAGAGATCTCTCATCGTTCTTCTTCCCCTTACAATACTTCCCCTAACTTAACTCCCTCTGCTGTTCTATTTTCATTCGAACCCGCTACATTGGAAGAGGTTTCTGCTCTGCTCCAGTCCTCCTGCCCCACCACCTGCTCCCTAGATCCAATTCCCTTGCATCTCATCTGTACTCTGTCTTCTTCTCTTTCTCCACCTCTCACTAAAATTCTCAATCTCTCTCTCTCCTCTGGTATATTTCCATTGCCCTTCAAACATGCAACTGTAACCCCAATTCTAAAGAAGACCAATCTTGACCCTAACTCCCCATCCAACTATCGTCCTATCTCGATACTTCCTTTTGCATCCAAGATCCTTGAAAAAATTGTGTATGCGAGATTGACAGACTTCCTCGAGTCCAACTCTCTTCTAGACCCGCTTCAGTCTGGTTTCCGTGCTAAGCACTCTGTGGAAATGGCAATGACCAAAATATCCAATGATCTACTCGCTGCAAAATCTCGTGGTCACTACTCTATCCTAATTCTCCTTTACCTGTCTGTAGCTTTTGACACACCACAACCAAGCAGTCAAACTGGAACAGCATACAATAAATCCCCTCAAGAACAATACAAGGCTCCATTTTGAGGGTCAAGCAAAAACAGACCAGAGCTGTGGGTTTATTGTTCCTATATATACATTATTACACATTAGTACCACCCACAGGGTTTTGTAAAACAACCAATAAACACGTCTAAAATACTCAGACACTCCCACACAAAATCCTCCCCTCTGCCTGTGATACAATTACCTTACACAATGGGTTAATGTAATTATCACAGGCAGAGAAATACAGTTTTTCCACATTATTCATAACTTTAAAAGTATGCATCACATTTACATTTTCAAATGTCAAAATCATCCAAATTGGTCCATTGGTTCAAAAGGTAGATCGAAGTCCTTTGTGACCAAAGGAAGCATGGCTTTTCTGCCCAAAACCAGTTCCACAGAGTCTTCTATCCTGGAGATAATTGGGAAGTAATCCAATTATCTCCAAGCACAGAGGCAAAACTCCATTAAGCACATGGCAGTAAAAAGACAGTAAAATACAATAAAATACACAAGGTTACATTTATTACATAAAATACAGACATGCAACATATCCCCAGATAGCTTAGGTCTGAGCGCACATTATTACTGAATGGCGCTCAGACCACACACATACAGTTCAATTGCCATGGAGCCAAAGTCTTTTATTACACAAATAGGCTTCATGGCATAGCTATCTGGGTTATATGAGTTCATTCAGTAAATCCGAGAATCTACCGAACGCCAGGGCAGATATACATGAATAGACCTTTCTACATAGGAAAATAAAGTATTTAATTGCCGGTCCATAGTCAAAAGGCAGCAGGCAGGCAACCAGGCTCCTCCAATGCACAGTGGTGAGATTGGGCACGTCACACCGGGTAACCGGCAGCCAAAACCCACGAGAATGCAGCCGAGGGGAGGGTGGGTGAGCATGTGACAGGACAGGAAGAGACAGGGTGGCACAGGGCGAGCCAGGAGAGACAGAAGGGCATATCTAATAACCAACTGTGGCGAAAGTAACCTCGCCACTGGCTTTTGGAGGAACCTTTTTTCCAGCCTTCTGCCCTGTGACTATGGCCCCTGTAATAAACTATGGTTAAAGACACTTTGTGAAGCGACACTTCGAACTCCTGAAGTGGCACTTCGAACTCCTGAAAGGGTTTGAAGCAGTCGGCTGGCATTCGAACACTTGGCGGTGGCATCTTAAACCTCTAGCATAATGAGCGGCGTTTGGTCGTCGAGTACATGGAACTCAAATTGGACAGTCGACGGCGTGAACCCCGCTAAACACATACCTTCCAGTGATGTTCGCCCATTCGAATGGGAATTGAACGGCGTTCGGTGGGAATAAACTCCCAAACGAGAGACATAAACTGAACCTACTCCCAAAGCTATATGTTCGGTATTTTATATGCTATTTCGAATTACTGAAGTACCTCCATGGATATCCTGAACCCCTGAAGCAATCTGGTTGATTTTTGGATATGTTGTTCACTCAGATCAGGGCTATCAGGGGATATAATAGGGATTTATAGGGTTTCCATGAGTTTTAGGGTTACTTTGGGGGTTTTCAAAAAATTTGCGTTTTTCTGCCTAGAGATAATTGAGTTAATACAGTATCTGACTCAATTATCTCCCAGGCAGAGGGGATGGATTGTATGTTTGTATATGAGAGTGTCAGGCATTTAAACATTGTTGTTATTGGTCTGTGACTTTATACCGTAGTTCCCCACAGTTCCATGTGGGAGTACCCCTTGCATAGACACTTGCATAAAAGGCCAGTGTGGCTACCAATAAATCAGTTCCTGCTTACCCTCAACATAGAGTCTTATCTCATGTGTGGGGGAAACGGCTGTATCTACCCTGGGGATTGCTATTTCACTATACTGCCCTGGGATTATAATCACTAGCTGTTCCTGCTATGCTCTCTGGAGTATGAGAGGTTCACCCACTAGAAACTGGATCTTGGTTTTGGGTCCAGGGTGGGTGGAGGATGGCGAGTTCCCAGCCAAGTTGTAACGCTGGAAGTGGGGACTACGGTGCTTATGGTGTCTGGTGGAGTGCTTGGAAGTACTTGGTGAGCAGTAGGAAGCAGCGATTGGCGAAGGCCCCCGGTCTGGGTGCCAGGCAGTCCGTCACACCAACCATTACAACCATAATGGTATCTGACAAGTTTATAAGCACTAATAAAGGATCTTTATTAGTGTTCCTTAATATAAAGGATCTTGGTAGTTGGGTACTCTACCAGCAGGGATATTCACTAAAGTTAATATTTAAGGTCAAAATATTCAAACTGGAAAGTTTTCTATGTCAACTACGTTTTCAGTTTGACTACTCTGGCCTGACATCTGTAATTCGCTGTTAAATTACATTGGATTCTCAATTCAGTAAATAACCAAATGTTTTTTTAAAAAGTGCTCCTTGCTAAGAGGGCGCTTAGATATATTGTAGAAATGTCAGTCTATCAGCTGCTACCACACCTATGTGAGAATCTCTTAACCCACCAATGATAATAAAACAGTGTAAACAAAGAGCTAGGAGGTGCAATCCTCCACCATACCCTTCAGTGTAGAACCAAATGTTTGTGTGTTCTTTTAAGTTAAAGGAACACTATAGTCGCCTAAATTACTTTAGCTTAATGAAGCAGTTTTAGTGTATAGATCATGCATCTTAGGTTCTACTGCTCAATTCACTGTCATTTAGGAGTTAAATCACTTTGTTTCTGTTTATGCAGCCCTAGCCACACCTCCCCTGGCTATGATTGACAGAGCCTACATGTAAAAAAAAAAAAAAAAAACAGTTTCCACTTTCAAACAGATGTAATTTATCTTAATTGTATCTCTTGCTCTGTAAATTGAACTTTAATCACATACAGGCGGCTTGTGCAGGGTCTAGCAAGCTATTAACATAGCAGGGGGTAAGAAAATCTAAATTAAACAGAACTTGCAATAAAGGAAGGATAAAATTTAGATAACGCTTTACAGGAAGTGTTTAGGAAGGCTGTGCAAGTCACATGCAGGGAGTTATGACTAGGGTTCATAAACAAAGTGATTTAACTCCTAAATGACAGATAATTGAGCAATGAGGCTGCAGGTGCATGATCTATACACCAAAACTGCTTAATTAAGGGGGCAGGGCCGGACCGCCATGCTGGCAGGTCGCACAACAGAAAGACTCCTGCAACTTTGCCCTATTTTCGCATGTAAACCCGATTTAATACCCACCAGACAACTAGCAACGGTGACCCTGTGTAAGCAGCTACCCTGGTCCCAAGGAGAGGCTTGTTGCAAAGTTCTAGTCCCTCAGAGGGGCGCTGTCTGTCTCCCACGATGGGGAGCGCTCGGGCGGTGTGGAGTGGACGGCTGCTGCCCTGCTAGCTGGCCCACCAGCGGTACGAGCGACACAAGAGGCTAGGGGGATCTGGCCTCATTCCCCCCCCCCTTGGGGGTAATCCCGGTCCCCACCCTGGGCCCGCCAGCGTGCAGCAACAACAGCATTCCAGGCTGAGACAGAACCCCAACACTCGGAGGCCGCATCCAAAATGGCGGGGACCGCGTGCAGAGTCACCCAAGTCGGCGAGCAGACAGAAGCACCCGCCTCACACTGGCAACAATCAGTGCCAAGACCCACTCCGGGTCTAGCCAGAACCACGCCGCACCAATACAGGCAGCGGCACAAGCGAGCAGAGGAGACCGACACCAGCGATCTGCCTATCAAGCACACCTACATGCATCTACAGAATGAGCCCGCGAAAAGTGAGGCCCTGCAAACTGATCCTCTTGTTGCACCGCGAGGATGCCGACCCACACGAACCAAAAGCTGCGAAATCAACCTGAAAACAGCATGGCACCAGGGATTTAACTCCCGACTGATGCAGACGCTGCATTAATTCGCAAGTACATCACAAGATCACTCTGTCACTTGCCTGGACTGTGCTTAACATGGCAATTCCTAAGCTTTTGTCTCTCTGCTACCAATACACCTCACAGGCAAGCCTCCTAGCACACTGGCACAGACTTTCACCTGGCAGGTGGGGGGTTAACCTGGGGTGGAAAAACTCACGAATGTAACATAACTAGTCTGTACAACATGACACTATCACGTCTCATTCAGATCTTCTTAGACACACTACCTGTTCTTTTACATTGAGACTGTTCACGCACTCCGTCTAAGCTAAATGTTAACACTAATCTTCACATGCCTAGCCTGTTGATGACACTCAAGCAACTAACCATAAAATTGTGCAAGCTTTATCATACCCTTACTGTTATAAATGTTTGGAAACAGCACGGAGGGTTGCCGTTGGGGTACCCCATGCGCACTGTTCAATCACATGCACTACAAAAAAATAAATTTAAAAAAACTGCTTAATTAAGCTAAAGTTGTTTTATGTACAATTAACCAGTAATCACTCTGAGCAATACCCTGTTCTTTTAACAAACCCAGAACTGAACCACAATGATTTGCTGTCTTAAAAAAGAGCATGTGGTAGAATACTTTTAAATGGAAATATTTACTAAGCACCTTATTTTATAACTAACACATGTTTATGCCTACATATTCAGACTGGCACTAAACGAAGAGTGCTTGTATTATTTTTATTAATAGACATACATGTTGATTCATACAAACCAAAAAAAATATGTTTTAATTACATAATTTTATATCATTTGCCTTTGCAAAAACTATAACGTTTCCTCCTAAAACCAATCTGACTCCAAACTTGGAAAATAGCACCATCTAGTGGCGAATTTAGGAACAATTTCAGTCAAATGTGAAATAGACATTAATATATGGGGAAGCATACAATTAACAAAAACTACATAACTCACCTTTCTGTTTTTCAGTCTCTGATAATATGCTCCATTCATGTGGACCTTTAACCTGCAAACTGAAGCTGTACAATAAACTCTCATAATTGACTGCTAATCAATAACTCTCATTACCACCATTGCCTCCCAAATAATACACCAGACACCTTCTATAATGGATAATGACATACACCAGAGCTTTATTAACATATCAATCTTTAACATTATCCATAACACTTATAGGATATAGGTTCTACAGTAGGAAGAAAAAACAAACATCATAGTGTACTATCTTAGATAAATATTAGTGTAATATAAGTGTGTTGTGTTTCACCTCCTCACTTTATGTCTTTCCACCTGTGATTGTTAAGGGTGTTTTCTATTGTATTATCCATAACACTGTCAGATGTTGAGCGGATGCCCAACAGACAGTTCTTCAACCTCCTCCTTGCGCTGCCAGGGAGGAATATGTACACATGGTGAAGCCAGTCAACCAGACAGGGCCCCTGTGATGGACAGTCAATGTGGCCTCACCACTGCTCCAAATCAACATTGTTTCCAAAAACATCCCTGCAATCAAATGCAAACATTACACACACACATACCCCTGTAATAAAACATTTAAATTATATACAAGCACTCCTTCATTCAAACACCAACACAATACACAAAAGCACTCATGCATTTAAAAACCAACACTACATACAAACATTACAAACATGCAAACATTACACACAAATAAACCATTAATTTCCAATGTCAACAGTTGACACAAACACACCCCTACATGCACACAAATACTTCATACACAAACATTCTTACAGTCAAATGTATAAACACTGCTCACAAATACAAGCCTGCAATGATGGGCAAATGGTAGATCTCCACCTGTCATAGCATTAGAGAGGGGGGGGGCAAAAAACTTTTACACCAGGGTCCCCTCTACATTAGTTCCGCCACTGGTTTACAGGTTATGATAAGCACAAAAGGAAAGATTTTGCAAAGTGCTCTGTTCTAATAAGTGGTTCAAAGTGTAAAAGAGAAAGACTCTTCAGTGGAATGTGCCTGCTGGTTATCCACTGGTTTCCATGGCGATTGGCTCATTTGTAATACTTTGGAACACTTTTTAGAGTAGATCAATTTGAAAAATCTCTTTCAGAAATGTTATTCATGCCAGGTAAAAGCCAATGGCATTTTCAGTGTTATTTAGTTGAGAAAAAAATTATTGGGAATTCAAAATAAATTTGGAATTAAAGGCCAAAGAAGTTGAAACGGTAACATGACTGAGTTGGACAATTTTTCAAGATCAGCTAGTTTGGATGTAAATTTGAATTTTCATTCATTCTTACTTTTGTGAATAACCCAGTTTGTCCTACAATAGAGCCTTTGACAATTTCTGTGGCAAGTTGTTTTAATCCTCAGCCCATGGCCCATCTGACCATGGAGTTGTATGTTGTGTCAATGGATGAACATGAGTATATTTCTATATCTTCTCTATTAGAGTACTTTTGTAAGAAGATATTAATTATTTTAAAACAAAGGGTTGCATAACAAAATAACAAACTAAATCATAGGATATTTTCCAAACACATACCATTGAGTCTTCACATACAGACTTGCACAAGAAACACAAATGTGTATGTTTTATTAAAAAGTTAAATGTTTCACACAGGCATACTTGTCAAAGATTTTTATTCTATAACCTTGATGACCAAGAGTCTCTGGTTCAAAGACTTGGAAAACAGCACCACCTACTGATGACTGCAAGAAACAGTTCAGATATTTATATATACATCAATGTTGAAGCAAGTAGAGGATATTCATGCTTAGCTAGTGGAAATGCAGAAATGTCACAAATGAAATTATGAACATAAAGTGTCTTTAGTTTACATTTGTGCCAGTTTTGACTGCATGCACCATTTTCTTGTGTATAAACCAATTAGTAATTGTACATTTTAAAATGTTTAAATTTTTACATTGTACATTTTATTTTACAAATTTTCAGTAATGCACCAAAACAATCCATCTTTTCAGCAATTTGTATTCCTTGTTTGGAATTTATGATCCTTTCTTTTATGATTTTAGCATTAATTACTTTCACAAACAAGATTCAATTACTAGGCGAAACACATGCATTCACAATGTGGAGATCTTTTTTCCCTTAAAGGGACACTCCGTTGACAAACATAAAAATAAAAACCACAGTTTAGTAGATATGCCCCAATAAAATCATGCATGCATTTAGTTGTGTATTTTTTATTTTTATTTTTGGGTGGGGGGCAGGGGGTATATCTAAAAACAGCTTGCAAAAGTTTTAGATTTTTTTTTGTCTGAAGCCTTTCGAAGCTATCCCCTTCTAACCCCACCCAGATTTTCCATGGCTGTCCAATCACAGACTTACTAATGCAGTTCAATGAGAAGTCTTTGCAAGGTCGGTGCTGTGGGCAATTGCAGCCTCTTGAGTTTGAATTCATTTAGCTAACCAGACCTGGAAGTAACTGGATCTGTTGTCAGATTTAAAGCCAAGGGGGTGTAACCAGGTTAATTTGTAAAAGTGTCAATTTCTATTGAAATCTGCAATTATTGTAAAATGAAAAAGAAGACACACTCTTCACACATAAAGCCCTTCAGCAAGCTGATGTGTACCTTTACGGATCTAGGATCTAGAGGTTAGCTTTAAAGGTAAAACAATACAACGAATGCTGCTTACCTGTCCCAGAAAATTCACCACTCTTACAAGGGTGGAAACAAATTTGGGAAAAAGAAGTTGCACTCTTGCACCTCTTGTTTTATGCAATGGCATCTACAAATTTGTGAACTGAAAAACAGACCCAAAAGGAAATAGGAAAATAACATTATGCAAAAGGTTCAAGGTAAGTAGTAAGTCGGACGTAATAGGAAAAGTCTTAGAAATAACAACCTAAAACTGAGCAACGCTTTTTTTTACATAACCCCAATGCATTAAAAGCTTCATAAACCCAAGATGTTTGCAGAAAAGAATCTGAATCATGTTTAGTTGAAAGCGATTATTAGTGTGACACTATAGTCACCCAGACCGCTTTATCTCAATGAAGTGGTATGGGCGCAGTGGTCCTGTCCTTTCAGCCCTGCAATGTAATGCAGTGTTATGACAGCCAAACACAGCGCTAGTGACGCTTACGCTGCACTGACTATCACCTGACATGGAACCCCACATAGGAAAGCATTGTTTGTTTGTTTGTTTTTGTTTTTACCAATACCTCTTTCTGGATTTTTCAAATGTAGTCTCACTTATTTCTTTTTCTGTAATTTGATTCATAAATATAATGGATTGCCCTGAATATTTGTATCCAACTTTGATGCATTTTTAATTTGGTAAATCGTAATCAGTGTTTTTACTAAAGTTTGTAACTGCTCAAAAATCACAAGGGGTTATAAGTTACATAAACTGTGCTGTATGTTTACTGCAAACATATAGGTTTTGGCAAATTTACACCAGGGACCTGAATAATGGCAGCTTAACCCAAGGGGCACAGCATCTGCGTCATTAAGGTATGACAAGAAAACCTAAGCACAATAATAATGGCTCATAATAACCAATTAAATACCCTCAACATGAAATTGTTACTCGTTGAGCCAAAGACATTGCTCCATGTTATGCAATTCATCAAAAAAATATCAAGCAGGATATCATGCATGAATTATGCAATCTATTATATAACTAGCCCTGGTTTGTTAATATGGGACAGTCTTGGATTATATCTTTACAGCACTTTAAGCATGCAGTTTAATTGGTTATTAAATTATATATAAGTATTATCAAATTAGCCTTACTAGAATTTGTAGTACTGACTATCAATAAAACGGTTGTTAACAGTACATTTGTCACCATCACAAATGTCATTCGTCTACCCATAAATTCTCTGCCATTTTGGATTTTCTAACTGCGTCTTGCAATTTCTACCCAAGTGTATTGTAAACTCTCAATTCCCCTCTTATGCTTTTCAGTATCCTGTTGTCTTTTTCAGTTAGCCTTAATCCATGTTGTCCTTTTTAGGGTTTACAATTCTATGAGCACCTGTTTTTGCTATTCAATTAA